AACCACCACCACACCACCAGCTGCAGCAACTGAAGATGACCGTGCTGCTGGGCCCGCTTGCCACCAACTCTGTTCTTGCGGACGCTGGCGGGGTGGCGAGCGTGGTGGTATGGCGGTTATTGGTGGTGTGGACGTATTACGAACTTATTGCTCGTATCTACTCCGGATTATAAACCCGTCGCTAAACATACCCGCACCCTTACTTTCTTCGTAAAGGTCCTAAAGGGGTAGTGTGACTTTCGTTAGTTTTTGTTGTTTTGTTTTTTCTCACCGGTGACGCCAAGGCGATGAAGAGGGGGGGGGGGGGGTGCACGACCGCCCCCAGTCGCATACCCGCTTTCCCTCTCTTTCCCCCTCTCTCCCTCTCTCTCCCTCTGCCCCGCTCTCCTCCCCCACCCCTTGCACGTGGCGAGGCCCGACAACGCGCGCGCGCGGCGCTCCTCTTCTTTTTCCGAAACACAAAACTGGCGCAAATAAAATCAGAGGAAATGAAATAAGAAGAAGGTGCGGCGTGGCGGGGGAGGGGGGGGGGATTGGGGAGGGTGGTGGCGAAGGGAAGGCGACCTCCGGGGAGGGCGGAGGGGAAGGGGAAGGGGGATGGTGAGACGCACATAAATGTAACAGAATAACACGAAATGAAAACTCTGCGGAAGGGGCGGGGGGAGCGAAGGACACGGAGCCGCCGCTGAAGCGAAGGGAATCCTCGCTAAATAAAGATGACGAAGGGTGGTGGTGGTGGGATAGGGGCGGCGGCGGAGGCGGCTTGGGCCTGAAACAATGCTTCTATCGCAAAATTACCCCTCGGGCTATACTTACACCCTTTTCTGTCGCGCTTTCTTTTAAGTCGAGGCTGCGTTTGTCTTGTTACAAAATAGGGGGAGGAGGAAATAATCTCGTTGATGAAATTGAATGGGAGAAAAATATTATTTTTTTCTTTTGTTCTTTTCGGTGTGCGCGGGGGGGGGGTTTATGTCGCGCAGGCTTGTTGGCTGAGCGTTAGCGAAGCCTTTGCTGTCATGAGGTGCAGGGAACTCTTTGGTTGTGTGTCTGTCTGTCTGTCTATCTATCTGAAATCACACACGTTTCTCAAAGATGGCAACTTCAATTGACTTCAAACTGCACACGAAGCATCAGTATACATCGGGTCGTATCGAGTTTAGTTTAGAAGTTAAATATAAGATGTTTGAAATAAGCGATCGTTTGATTTGAATTCGTAGTTTGGTGGCGGTAGGTTGGTAGCACGGCGCTCGAGGGGAGGGGGAGCGCAAGTGGCTCTTGCGCTCACCTGAAGACTTTGATACCTTCTCAGCAGTAATTAAAATGTCAGATAGTCAAACCGAGTGTTTTATTTTTAGTTTTAGAGTTGCGGACCTTAGCCTGCGAAGTTTCGCGAGTGTCCGATGAGAAGGAACGAAAGTGATATTTGGAATGGTTTACGTGTTTACTTACGTAAGCTGGAGGGGACGGGGGAAGTGGTTTGGGAGAAATGTGCAAAGGTAACTAATGTTTCGGGTTCATCTTGACAAAAGAAAACGAAAATGTTTTATGCCCAAAGATGATCGGAATCGAAATGGCAGAGTTATGTTCAAATGTTCAATAAAGTGTTAAATCGCCTCTGGCGGCCAAACGGTGCAACCCGAAGGGTTACTGGGTCGTACCTCGCCGAGACGATTAAAACGCACCCCTCGAACGTTCAATTTGGAGTTATCCCCCTCCGAATTGACAATTTGGTCGTTTTGGCACACTTTTACCCCTTTGGTTTCTATTAACTTTGCCATTTTGACTCTGATCGGATCTGAGCATAACACATTTCCTTTTTAATTTTGCAAGAAGAATCCAAATCTGGGATTATACCAAAAATTTGATAACTTTTAGCAAATTGTAATTTCACAAAATTTACATTGTAACTCAAAATTATGGTGTTCAGTCGAAAAACGACTAGAAGTCATTTTATCTTATAAAAAAGCATCTTTAAAGGCTTATTACACTTACAACTAATTTTTTCAATAACAATATACTTCCAAGGGTCCAAACAATATTAGAGCCATAGTCGCAACTTATTGTAGGATAAGCCGTTCAAAATCAGAACGAGATTTATAATTCTC